GAGTCATCTCTCCAGTCCCCATAAACATTTTTCCTATCAGTTATCATTTACTGAATACTTACTAATTTCTAGTCTGGTTCAATAATACTATACAGTATTATTCTTATTCATGGGCTCAAACTAGAATCAAAACTAAAGCATACTGATAATAAGCAGACTGCCTAAGATGGAATAACCAACTAGCTAGACTAGCTTGGCTTTGAACCAAAGTCTCCTAGATGTTGAAGCCCAGACCTCTGCTCTGTGGACACCTGTGCTCTTTTGTTTGCTCAACGGCCTGTATATTATGTGGTTTCCTCAAAGGTTAAGACTTCAGGAGGAAAGCGGGTGGATGGGGCTCAACCTTACCCTTTCTCAACACCCGCATTTACATAACACTGGTCTTCGGAACATATTTTAATTAAAACCTTTATTTCTGCAATCAAAATAATTTGAAAACCAGAGTAGTCTCTTTGGCTCCTCCTTCCAGGTGTAGTCTGCAGTTACTCCTCAAAGTTGATGAATCTAATAATCAAGACATTCAAACTGATCCTCCTCCCATTACTTTTCATATTTGGTTGGCTTTTTTTTCTCTAATTCTTTCTCACAGCATTTAGCCCCAAATACTCAAGGTTGTCCACTACAGGTTGGTTAACTATATTAGCAAAAATGAATGCTCAAACAGACCCAACAGAAAAACATAATACTAAGCTTTTAAAAAAAAATATGTTTTTGGGGGTTGGATAGATGCTCCCAAAATAAAATAAAAATAATAAATATAAAAAAGCTAATAAATTTTTTATGGGTCTAAGTGCATACATGCATGCAAAGCCTACAGAAGCCAGAAGAGGGTGTTGGAACCCTTGAGGTGGAGTTACAGATGGTTGTGAGCCAACTTGTGGATGTTGGGAACTGAACCTAGGTCCTCTGCAAGAGCAACAAGTGCACTTAACCTTTGAGTCATATCTCTAGCCCCCCATAATACTAAATTTTCAAAGGTTAACATTTTTACTTGTACGCATAAATATCTACATGGCTCAAAACCCAGAACAAAATGTGTTACTAGTAGTCTAACAGTTCTTGGGGCTTTAACATTGTAAAGTGAAAAAATACTTTTGGGGCTAGAGAGATGACTCAGTGGTTAAGAATATGGGCTGCTCTTGCAGAGGACCTGGGTTTGGTTCCCAGCACCCACATGGCAAGTGACAACCATCAATAACTCCAGTTCCGGGGGATCAGACACCCTCTTCTGACCTCCATGGGCACTGCACAACACAGATGCACTTATATACATGCAGGCAATATACTCAAATATGCATAAAATAAAAATAATAAAATATTTAAAAATATAAAAATACTTTAACTGGGACTTAAAGTGTTTACATATTCATGGGGTATCATAATATTGTGACACATTTATAGACTATGAATTGTTCCTATCAGAGCAATGTTTATATCCTAGAACATTTATTAAGAAATCATTTTTTAAAGCATTTTTGAAATATAAATTACTGGTTATGCCACTGTGAAACAGCACACCAGAACTTATTTCTCTTCTCCATTATAAGTATCCACTGATCAAACTTTACTGATTCCCCTCACCTCTTCCCATCCCAGCCTTTGGAAACCAATGCTCTAAATTTCTACATCATCAAGTTTTTTGGACCCATGATACCAGTAAGATCATATGGTATCTGTCTTTCTGTGTACGACTTATTTACTATAATGGATCTCCAGTTCCACTCATGTTGTGGTAGATGACAGTATTTTATTCTTTGTATGCTGAATATTCAGTACTATGTACATGCACCACATCTTCTCTACCCATTCATCAACAAGATACATAAGTTGTTTCAATTCTTGGCAATACGCCTAGTAATGGAATTGCTGGTTCATATGGGTAGTTTTAATTTCCTGAGAACCTCCATACTTAGTTGTACTCATTTATGTTCCAATCCACAATGTGCAAAGATTCCTTTTACATCCTATCTTTACCTGCATTTGTTACCACTTGGCATTTTGACACGTATTCTAGCTACCATGAATTGATTTCTCATTAGGGTTCTGATTTACAGCTGACCATTTTTATGTTTTAAAAAATGTATTTAAGTCTACTGAACAATTTTTTAAATCAATCAGATTTTTTTTTACTATTGAGCTCCTTATATATTATGTACATTAACATGTAGTTTGCAATTATTTTCCCAATTCCATAGGTTATCCCTTGTCTCATTTCCTTTACTATATTACAGCTTAGAGTAACCCAACTGGTATATTACTGTTTTTGTTTACTGTGGGATTTTGAGGGGGAAGGTCTTCTCCAAAAAAATGCTCATGTTTAAATAATCTAAAGTACTTCTTCCATGTTTTCTTTCAGAACTTTCACAGTTTCAGATCTTACATTTAGATCTTTAAATCATTTTGAGTTGATTTTTGTACAGAGTACAAGATGAGGGTCTAGTCTCATTCGTTTGCATGAGAATATCTAATTTTCCATTTATCAAAAATGTTGTCCTCTCTCCAGTGAGTGTTCTTAGCTAACTTCTGTTGAAGATCAGTTGGCTGTAGATGTTTACTTCTAAGTTTTCAATTCTGTTCTATTGGTCTTTATATCTGTTTTATGCCAATATCATAGTGTTTTGATTACTACAGCTTTGGAAGGACATTTTGTGAATCCAGGTGTATATAATTGTTTGAGCCTGTGCTTTTTGCTTAAGATAGGTTTGGTTATTCAGGATTTTTGTGCTTCCATACAAATTTTAGGACTATTTTTCTCCAATTAAAAATGCCTTCATTACTTTAGTAGAGATTGCACTCAAGTCTGCACACCATTAAGCAGTATGGACATTACAGTAATACTGATTCTTCCAACTCAAATATGATTTTTTTCCTTTTCTGTGTGTATCCTGAAGGACTGTTGAATTCATTTAGTTCTACTACCCAACTTTCTGGAGAGTATGTAACACTTTTTTTATGCACTACCATAACTGAGCTGTAATAGTTTTTGACAGAGGGCTGTGTGTGTGTGTGTGTGTGTGTGTGTGTCTGTGTGTGTGTGTATGAGTGATCAAATGTGAGTGATCAAAGAGTTACAGGAACAGTGTTTTTGGTGGGGGGGGGTAGGGCGGATCTGGTTCAATCATTAGCCAATGAGAGTTGAATAATAAATATTATGTTGGGTACACGAATTTTTATTATAAAAAAACTTCTTTGTTGTAATGAAGGCCACATAGGTTCTGACACAATAATGGTGGGGGACTTTAATAACCTACTCATATTTAGATTGGCCTTCCAAAGTAAAAGTAATCAAAGAAACTTCAGAGCTAAAATACATTATGTATCAGCTTGATTTAACAGATATGAACAGAATATTCTACCCAACAGATAGGGAATACGCATTTTTCTCAATGACACATGGAACCTTCTCTAAAACTGATCATATCATAGGTCATAAATCAAATCTCAACAAATACAAAAAGAAAAGAAAAAGGACAAGGTAATTCCTTGTGTCCTATCAGATTACAATGGAATAAAAGCAGAAGCCAACAAGAAAAACTATAGCAACAACAAAAATACTTGGGTACATGAATGTTTAAAGGTTTAATTATTCCTCCTTCTCTTGCTCCTCTAAAATGGGTATCAGAAAGTAAATAGTTCCATAACAATTGCTTCATATATATTGTTGAATAAGGAAATGAAAAAGAACTTGCAGGCCCTAAATCATAAATAATGCAATCAAATGACTTAAAATGATATTTTTTTCTACTGTTCAAAGCATCTAACACTTCACAAACTCACAAAAACTAATCATAAATAAATACTAGTTAAAAGGGCCCTGGACAAGGTTCATGATGTGAAATGCCTAGTCTAGGAATCTGTCAAATCCAGGCCTTGTTGGGAACCACTGAGAGGAAAGTTCAGTTTTTCAGCACAACCTTTTCCTATTTCTGGTATATTTCATGCAAGCACTTTACTGTGCTCTCTTCCCAGCCCCCTATCAGCTAGTATAATCTACAAATTGGGAAATTCTGAAATACCAGGGAGAACTTTGGAAGAGTAAACCAGAAAACTCTGGTCACCATTAGATTTCTAAGGCTAGTTAAGTGATATTTACAAAAAAAAGGTATATACTGCTAATACTTCAAACACTAATTTGCAACTGTTAATATATGACACTTGTTGATTCATATTTAAAAAAAAAAAACTCAAGCTGGGTCCACTATTCAGTCCCTAATACATAATGAGCGCCTACTGTACAAATGAGAACACAGTTATCAGAAACATAAAGCTGAAGAGATGACAGATCATGTTCTGAAGGAACTTACAGCATGGAAGGCAAGAAAATAATGGAGCAATAACAGTCACAGTGTGCAAAGAAGAGTGAGCACAAAGAGGAAGGAGCATCAACATCTGATTCAGGATCAGAGTGCTTCCTAGACATGACACTGCTGACAGTTGGGATGAGGCAGACTCTCCAGGCAGACTACCTGTGTTTGTGTGGGAGCTTGCATATGTGTGCGGAGGTTTAAGGGGTAAGGAGAAAGAAGCAGGGAAAACACAATTTTCACTCCCAACAGTTGTTCAACATTTCAAGTCAGTTAGTAATAGTCTATGAACTGTAAGAAAAGAGAATGAAGGCGAATCTTTGTGAGTTCAAGGCCAGCCTGGTTTACATAGTGAGTTCCAGGATAGCAGCTGGAGCTACAGGGAGACCCTGTCTCAAAAAAGACCAAAAAAAAAAAAAAGTTTTTAAAAAACCGCTAAACAGATCACAAAGAGTCTTGTGTTTTGGCACAGAGAGCCAGCAAAGAAGTGCAATCAGATTAATCCTAAACCATAGTTTGAAAGATGAAGTGGAAGGAATAAAAAACAGAAGCTAAAGTACTAGTATTCCAATAGGAAGATGCTAAATGATGGAACTAAGTCTGAGGTAGTGAGATGGAGGAAGAAGACATGGCCAACAGGGTTGGGAGATGACTTGTGACTAGAACAGATTCACGTCAAAGGATGTTCTCACGCACCTGAGTGACTACATATTGCACTTAGTTGGTTACTGGGCTGGAAACCCAGAATTTCAATACAGACACAGTAAAGGCAGTTCTCATCGGTATGCTCCTGTAGCCCAGTGTCTTCTGTACTTTCTAAAAACAGAGAAGCATCTGAATGGATGGAATTCATTATCTCCGTGAGGCTCATCTGCTGTCGCAGCAAGTGAAAAGAGTTTTTCACAAGACCTCCAGTTCCAGATGGAAGACCTGTGTGTTTAAGAAAATGTAAAACATTATCTGATAAAAACAATATTGTATCTTTTTCAAGATACCTAAAACCAAGAAATTTCTAAGATGAAAGTCAGAACTTTTTATGACCCAGTGTCTTTAACTAGGAGGAAAATAATTTGCTTTAAATTATGAAAATAACTACAGATAACATGTTTCTATTAAATGTTTTAAATACAAAATGGAAAAAAAGATATAAATGTATCATTTCAATTATCTCTGATACTTGCCTAAAGAAAATTAGTACTTAAGAGATACATGTTAAAAAGAAAGATTATGAATCTATTAATCTGTGGCACATATTCACTAAAATATAACAGGTCATGCACAGAAAAAAACACAGAATTTATAATGAAGTTTTCACATCTTTCCTCATCCTAAACAAACAGCTCTGTCTGACCTATGAAAATTAGTTTAAAAAAATTTCTTGTACTTTTAAAAAATAGACCTTAACACATATGACAGAGTATATGAAATCTGGCAGCAGTGATGGCAGCTGTAAGGGGGTGCAGATAGGAGACTGGGGTCTTAATATGATCAAAATATATTACATGAAATTCATAAAAATTCAACAAAAAAAAAAGGAAAAGGAAAGAAAAAATATAAAACAACCAAATCCAAGAAAAAAGAAAAAGAAAAATAACTAATCTGGGTTTTATCATCTTGAGGCTGGGAACCCACCTAAACATTTTCTTACGTCTTTTAAAAAGAAAAACATGTAGCTTAACTTTAAGTTGGCTCAGTTCCTTTAGTATAGAGTTTAAATTCCCCCAATCAGTAGTGTCATCCCAATAAGAAGGTAAAGAGGGGTCTCATGAGAACAGAGCACACATTACCTCCTGCATCGTGGGCAAACACTCTTGTGCCTCGGTCATCATGCGGAGGTACGTTTTTTGTCTGAAAATAAGGAATATCCTTTACCTAAAATATATATGAATCATGGTAAGTTCTATTATAAAAAGAAATCCATCTTATGACTATTAAAAAAATCAATGAAATACAACCAAAATAAATTATTGCAGCATAGGAACCTACAAAGCAAAGTTTACTAAAGAACGTTAAAATTACCAAAATTTAACAGAATAAAAGTTTTATCATATTCTTAGTGAGTTAAAAAGATATTCAAATAATTCAGTGTTAATGTACAATATTTAGAGGCAGGGAGAAGGCTCAGTGCGTAAAAGTGCTTGCTGGACAAGCATGAGGACCTAAGCCTGAATCTCCCACACTTATATCAAAAGCTGGGTGTGACCATGTGACTATGTACTTGGCACCGCAGGCTGTGAGGGGCAGAGACAAGAAGACTGCTGGGGCTTGCTGGCTGACAGCCCAGGTGCAGGTTCAGTGACAGAGCCTGTCTCAAGGGAGTAGGCAAAGAGTGACAGAGCAGGATATCTGACATCCTTCTCTGGCTTCTGCAGATGCATGCACCCTCCCTCCCCACCAAACACATGCACACCACACACACACACACACACACACACACAGGAAAAAGAAAAAAGAAACCCAATAAAATATTTGGACTGCTAAAGAATATATGCATTCTTCTGTGCTCCTGTGGCTGACTACAGCTGTGTGAATTATTTTAATGACTAGGGCTACCGTATATGACTAGACAGCACATGTGGCTGCTCTAGGTGGGAAAAGGGATGAAAGATTAAAAACAAGATACTAAGTCTAAAACAGATTAGAAATTTGCTCAATTTCTACACAGACCATACAGATAAATCAAACAAGATGCTAATTATGGGAAGAGAAAGGATAATGTTCTGGAGACCTGGAGATACTAAACTAAAAAGTATAGAATAGCTGAGCAAGAGTATAAAACAGTTGAAAAAGGGGAATTTTCATGTTAAAACTTTTTTAGACAAAACCAATCCCCCCAAAACCTTATCTTTCCAATAACTAGTATCTATTGCAAATTATAATTTCTAATAAGCAGGTATAAAACATTAAAAAAGAGCCAGCTCAAAGGAAAAAAAATGTTGGCTGATACCTGGAAGATGTCATTAATGTCTACTGGAAGAGCAAGTCCAATGTAGTCATCGGAGCCTCCGTATGTAGCACTGGACACCATGGACCTAACTGAGGAGGATCGCTGCAGGGTATTTTGATTAATAGGACTTAATAAATCTTCTTTATCTAATGATGCATAACTTAAAGCTTTCATAAACCTATAATATCACGAAAAATTTGTATTAGTTTCTTGATTTGCACTATGGAACATATAAAAAAATAACCATTTCTACTAACATCAAAGTAGCTAGTCAAACACTAAGTGTCATCTAGTCTACTGACATACACAGGCACTTTAAGACATTAGTTGCCATAGATCAATGTACAAAAGGTTACTAGTAACGCTGGATGTTAGCAAAAGAACTATTGTTATGATCTCCCAAGTAAATATGAAAAGGTGGGCAATTTAGAGAAACTTCAACATGTAGAAGCAGAAAAGGAAACTGACCCAGAGACAGGCATAATTCAAAGCTTCGCAGTCAGTAGACACTGCTGGATTTGCTAAGAGCTGAAGATAATCTATTAACACCAATTAATATATTTGTGAAAATGAGAGTACTTACTTACCATTCTTTGAGGGTTCTTTTGTTACCATGTAATATTTGTGTAACATAGGACGCACACATAACATAGTAAAATGGTCTCATTTATAAATACAAGAGATACATTACAAAGGACTGATTTTTCTAAAACACTCTTCACTAATGACTTCAGAAATGTGTGGCACACTGAAAGCTCCATAAGGTACACTTCTCATACAGATTTTTATTCATGCAATAGATACTAAAATACTTTATATGTGCTTTACTATATACTACAGAAGACACTACTGAAGTTCTAATTAGAACTTCTAATTAGAACACTAATTAGAAAATGAAGTCTAATAAAATGTACTAATGTAATCTGATATTAAATTAAATAATTATATCACACAAAGGAAACATGTCTTAAGAAGTAGCTGTAATTAAAATTACAGACCCAAAGCCATTCCTAATTTCCAGCAAAATGAACACTTATCTGAAATTTAGGAATTTTATGGAAGAAGTCAATGGTTTTCAAATGGTACTATTATACCTTTTTGACTACAAAATTTTTGAAGGACCACTGAAGTAGGGGAAAGAATTATGGGACTGTTTTGATTTCCAATTCTATTTCAATAAGCTGTAGCTCCATTTTTAATCTATTCTGTTTATTGGGTTTCTATAGAAAGCATTTAGTGAAAAATGGTGTTTCTTCTTAAGAAGTAACATTTAAAAAGCTTAAAATCACCAACCTAGTCAAATCTCTACCAGATGAGGTCACTGAGGCCTAGAAAATCTAATTCATGAGCTATGCTGCTGAATATAAATCTATATCATGCTTGCTGAGAGGCATGTCTGGCTTTGTTCTGGACAGATGAGGCAGTCAGAAGCAGTGAGTTCTAGGTACAAAAGGCATTACGGAGCCATTCTTTAAGATGGGACAAAATTCATTATTTGCTACGAGGACCCCCTTTAATTAAGAGTGTCATTAATGTTAAGAATTTAATGTGAGGGGCTAGAGAGCTGGCTCAGCAGTTAAGAGCATTGGCTGCTCTTGCAGAAGACCTGGGTTTGATTCCCAGCACCCACACGGCAGCTGATAACTATCTGTAACTCCAATTCCAGGAGATCCGGCATCCTCTTCTGACCTACATGGGCACTGCACAACATCGGTGCAATATGCAGGCAGTGTACTCATACATATAAAATAAAAACAATAAATATTTTTTTAAAAAATTAAAAAAAGAGGATTTAATGTGAGAAGGCTGGAGAGCTGACACAGCCACTAAAGGCTCAGGCTCACAACTAAAGAATTTAATGTGAGAGACAGATGAATTACATCAAATAACTGCCAATAATGACAATGATAAATTACTAACTTTAATTGAGTGCTTATTTTTCACTAGATACTGATTTAACTACTTGACATCTAATAAACCATTTAAATAAACAAAATTTAAAACTATGAGAAGTTGTTCTGATGCATTTGGTCCAACAATAAAAAACACAGGAAGAGAATTTTTTGCAACAATCAAATTTCAAATCATATAACTTTAAAAAATAAACTCAAAGGGCTGGAGAGATGGCTCAGCAGTTAAGAACACTGGTTGTTCTTGCAGAAGACCTGGGTTTGAATCTCAGCACCCACATGGCAGCTAACAACTGTCCATAACTCCAGTCCCAGGGGATCCGACAGCCTCTTCTGACCTCTGTGGGCATTGCATGACATGGGTGCACTTACCTACATGCAGGCAATACACGTATACATATAAAATAAAAATAAAATTTTTAAAAGCTCAAACTTTTCATTGTGAATAGTCACAAGTCATTGCTTATAGTCTTGAGGACCGAATTAATTTAGTGTTTATCAGGTTCCTATTTAATAGTTACATGTATTTAAACTAAAAATAATTTAACTGAAATTTTCAGGTT